CATTCATACACACACACGCACACCCTTAATTTAATGACACACTGACGCATCCCTAATAGCAACTCTTAATATGACATGAGTTGAATAATTGTCATAGTTTCGATTAAATGTCAACTAAAAGTGCAGCAACGTGCTATGAGGCATTCAAGTGTCAGAGGCTGCCCTACGACAATCCAACCTTCTGTAAATTTCTGGGAAGGAGCCAGTCATCTTGCACTTGCTCATGTTCAACTATGCTGATCTAAAGTCAGTTTTATTTTGGCAATAACAATGCAATGTCATTACGCGCGACATTTGGTTGTGGGATACAATTGCCTTACTCCCGCCAGTTAGGGCGCCTTCAGTTATGCCAAAACCATCACACGTCTCACGCATCAGTTGGCGTAAAAGTGAGCTGCCGATTGACGACTTTTAATATCTCCTAAATGAGAGTGAAATTCCTAACCTACGAAAAGCAAATTGCCATAAATACTGAGACGGAGCTTCATAAGGGATACCTTGCCTTTGATCCTCTAGCCTAGTAGCGCTTGCAAAGGCGCAACACCAGATTTCATTTCATTTCAAATACCTTTGCAGTTGAATAAGAAACTTACTTTAAATCAACTCGAGGCCTCAATGAATGCATCTACAGAATAAATAACTTACCCGGAAGGAGATGCCAAGTGCGCTTGAGGTTGAGCCTGGGAGATCTGTGTAGAACTTGGTTTCGTTCTGTAGCGGAACGGAAGAATAATTGTGTTATCACCTGCAGTCTGAATTGAACCCGAAAGTTCTACGTAGCGCCCTAAAGTTGTGAGCGTTTCAAATTACACCACCAAATTTCGTATTGAAAAACGTTTCCTCAATCTATTACTAACGAGTGGGTCACTAAAATAAGGAGCTCTTTCAATGAGTCTGAAGACGCTTAATGGTTTGCATAGTTCACAAATGGGTATTTTACAAGTGGATCAGAGTTGTTAAAACTTAGGCAGAAAGCTGCGAGTACATAATTAACAACACACCAGGCAACTCGAAGATCTTTCTAATGATCACGCTTCTCAAATGAAAGCAACAACAGTTTGGAAGCTGCTTTGTTTGTAGAGTTTGCCAGGTGCATGGCATCAGGGAGGCTCAAAATGCTGGTGCTACAGTCAGAATAGCTGAGATGCGCTGACATGCATCTGTTTCTACTATACTTTGAAGCTCAGTTCCTCTACCCTCTTCACTTCGGATGATGTCATCTCATGTTAGATTGGTTTTAAGGGGAATGCATTCAAAAGCTGTGGGAAATGTTTTCAGAGCAGCTTTAACGTGTGTGCTATTGTAAAACTAAAATTCCAAAGCAAAATTTTAACGCGTAAGATTATTGTCTGCAAAACCAGTAGAGGCCTTTCGAGAAAATCAAACAAAGATGAATTTAAAGAAACTGGCGCAAATCGGAATCGAGTTTTTCCAGTAAGTTTTATGGTCATTTAAAAGAGATTTTTTCGTCACTCCTCCTCAATCCATAATGACAACAGGTTTAACTCTATTTTCACATTGCAGACATTTACTTACCAAGATTTGTAAGGCTGCTGCAGCTCAAAAACAAAACTATGCATTTGAGTGAATGGAGCTGCTAGGATTGGAAAAAAGAGAGAGAAAGATTCCAAAATTGCTGTTCTTATTTATGAAGTGCGTTTTCTCTGCGAACCTTGTGCATTGCTGTTTTTCCGGTTTATGGCCTGTCTGTAATTTCCACCATTTGTTCAATCATCAGGCACACTACCACGGCCTCCTCCTCCTCCTCTGGTGCCTCCAAACTTCGCAAAATAACCAGAAAAGGTGCAGTGTTAAGACTTCGTGGCAAATTGTTGAGAATTCATGGTCTGTGAATGGGTTGGAGAGGCCCTGCTTTATGCCCCATGCATAATCTCGCGCGGAAAATCACTTCACTGTGAGCGTCAAAGGCACTGCCTCATTCACGAATTGCGTTAGGAGGAAAAAAAATGATGCTACCTTAAAGAATGGTTTATTTGTGTCTCAGGACCTCATTAGTAATTTTTGAAGCAACAAATCGCCTCCCTGGGCGCACGATATCACCTACATAAAAATTTTTAACAAGTTTAAAACATTATGCAGCATTTTGCACTGCAAACAACAATGAAACAGCATGGGCGCGAAAATTTGTCCTCCTCTCGCGTGCAATGAAAACAATGGTACACTCGAGACACCATTCAACTCACTGTACAACATCTCTGACTCAAGGAGTGCAAGATGCTCAAACAAGACGATGCATGCACAAGTATATTCGAACTGGTGGCTCTGGCCAACTGATTGAGGTAAGAGAAATAAATCCACCTTGAGTTCGAAACTATACGTGGAACGACTCTTTGATGGATACTAGCCTTGTCAAAATCGTGTTAACTTGTCAGTGCTCGTTACCTATTGATTGTGGGAACGGCACACATCCATCAGATGTTTTGTGTGGCATTATTCCCATTCAATTTCCTCTATTCCCAAAGGAATGCTTCATAGCTATTTAGGTAAACCTAAGCAAGGGTGATTGTATGGGCTATCTTCAAGTACCGCTACGTAAATGCAAAAGTAACAGCATGCGCTTCCTCTCCGGCGATAGTAGGTCCTTCATCTGATAGGAGGCATTTGCGGCACCGTAAGTTTATAGCAACTCGCGTTATGCGCCTGCACAATCCCATGTAGACTACATTAGTGGTGGGTCAGCGTAAAAAGAGCTGGCAAGTGGCAGGTTCGAGTATCATTTCACAACTGTTAGTGTACTACTCTGCGATTGGATTAAATCCTTTGTGGGCAGTAACACTTAATGTAGCGACGAAGTACGCAGACCAGAGACAATGGTAAATACGTCCACGTTAATCAACCAAAATGTCTTCATCATTTTTGCTCACTATTTTGTGATAGCAAAGGTGGTGGGGTTCTTGAAGAACCTGTAACTTAGCACTTGAAATACTTTGTCCAAAAAGCTTTCTATCTGGAAGTTTGCTATTAAAGAATCCTAGTCAGAGTAGCCGCACTATTGTGTGCACCGACGCAAAGAGAATGCAGAGTGAGCGCTGCCGGGTTTGGGGAATTGGGCCAATCACAGTGAATGTGGAGGTCGTGGCGTATCACAAAAAAACAAAAAATGACAATAGCGTTAACGATAGTGCATAGCTGTACAGCGACCAAAAAGAATCTCAACTAAAAACAACGAAAAATTAAACTAATTTCAGCTTTCAATGCGCATTCAAGAGAAACCACCACGATCTTGTGTTACAAATGTCAGGATTTGCATCAATTAAACTGACTTAATAAAAAAAACAATGAGGTGCACCTCGGCTTAACCGGTGAAGTCGACTAAGAATTCCAATCTGTATGATCCGGACCTGCAAAGTGACGCCTTCAAGCGAAACGTAGCATGACTATTTACTCTGGAGAAGCTAGTCTGCCCACCTTCTTGCAGGGCAGAAGGTATGCTAGAGGTAATTAGTTTGGCAACATTAGGCATCTGAATGCACGTGAATTCGTGTGCAGATGAAGCCAACCACAATGACACGCACCATGTTACTCAGTTTTCGGGTGTGCCGATAGTTTGCAAGATAACTGTGAAGTTTTAAAATCCTCATAAGTGCATGATTGACGCCTCGTTTGAGCGCCTCCCTATTATATACTCATACGAACGAGAAAAAAGTAGTATGTCAACCAAAAATTTGCCATTTCTTGCGCTTTGGCCTGAATGGCTTTTCACTTTTGTTTCATCAATTGAAACGCAGCTTTGGTGTCTACGAGAAGCAGAGGAAAATTGAACAGAGGCGTACAGACAACAATCTGAGGCATTGACAACTTCTCCTCTTGTAAAATTTGTGAATGATGTCTGAGATGAAAGGAATATGATACTGCTGGATCAAGAGCAGACATTTGAGTCAACTTTTTATTTCTTAGTATTGTGCTATAGTGGTATTCACCTGAATATTAAATATCAAGCAAAGAATTATATAAATTGCAGTATCATTTAAAAAGAGCATAAAAGTAAGCCAAAATTTGGGACCAACGTTTCGATTACTGTTTGCGGTGGCGGTTTTACTTGAGTTGACGCTCGGTTTCCCCGATCGCGCTGCCGAAAGTAGGCGACATTCGCACGGAAGCTGTCCGATGACGGTGCAATGTACATAGAAGTGTAACAAAGGAGACCATAAAGCGACTATGAATATTTTCCATAAACGCGCTGCTGTTTTAGCACTCATTGCCTCCCAAGAGCCTTCTATTAAAACCTTTATACTAAATAATCATTTCAACTCTCCTATGCTCCTGGATTTTAAAACGAAAATCCTGTTCAATCAGCGGCACTTGAACACGACACAGAGGGTTTGTATTAGTTCACTCAAAATGATCACTCGTCATGTGCACAAAGACTTAGACAGGCAAAGAGCCAAACTCTTATATACAATACAGTTAGGAATTCCAATAAGGTGAGAACTTCACGCAATGTAATCCCGACTTAAAACAGTGAAAAATTCCTTGCATTCAAGGGCTTCTATGCAACCCTAGTTTCCCTAATAGTCAAAGGATAACTTTAAGCCGGACTCGAAGATCGTCGCTCTTCAATTAAACACAACCTAACATTCACTGGTACACTCAAGTTTCATTGAAGAGACCATTCGTTTCATGGTGTTTGAGGCAATGAGAACTAGAAGTGCACAGTGAGGATACTCTTTGGTGGCAACGAATGGGCAAATGTGGAGTCACAATAATCTCATTTACGCCCTCGTTAAGTGCTTGATGCCAAGCCTCAGTGGCACATTGACACAGTGAGAATTGGATGCGGCACAATCACGGACCACCTTTAAAATGTGTGGTCCTAGCGAACAGTTACTTTAACCCTATAAAGAAGGGTGGAATGGATGTACGCTAGAGAATGGAAACCGTACATGTTGAATTCTAAGTAAATCAGAGACCAAAATAATTATAACCGTTTTGAGGACAGACACACCACAATGGTTCGTAAGGTGTATGCAATTCTCGGTCTAGCCATCCATATTGGGCGTGCTATCGTATATACAGCCGCCTTGATGTGCAAAGCATGTACTCCAGCAGGTCTCTTCAACATTTTCCTTCTGAACGTACCCAAATGGTCGTGTTTCCAGAGATGCCTCCGAATCAGTTGACTCAGCCGGTAATCTACAAGACGGGAAAGATGAAAAGTCTAAACGATTTCATGGTGAGGATAGCTTTATGGTCATGTAGTTTGTTTTCGCATTCAGTACAAAAAAAGTAGACAAAACAAACGCCATACAATTGTGGAATACCGGTGCCAGTAACTCAGTTGTGATGTTATAGAAGCGTGGAGGTAATATTAGCCCCTCTAGCCGCCAAAAGCTAGCATACTGACATGACGGTGTACATTTTGAACATTAAAAATCCACTTCAACAAAGGTTCTCGGTGCATGCATCTTTCCTTCATAATCTGAGTATTGTTGTTAGGCTGCTGTGCAGTTTGATAGTTTAAGAAAAACATTATGCATTTGATTAAGAAGGAAGGCTTTGCCACTATTTACGTGATACGTATTGCAATCGTTTATTCGCATACTTCGAGATTCCGCTACAATATTTTCCTAAGCACAAAAAAAATCACCTATAAAATGAAATTGATGCGCTTACGAAGGGATAACAACGGGCTCTGGGGGCACTGAAGCATGTGCCGCAGGCTTAGTGACTGGCAGGGAGGTCTTCTTTATTTGCGATTCAGGGGTAGCTCGGGACCGAACATTCGTCTGATGAAGATTTGAATAAGGCTTGGAAACCTCGTTCGACAAAGTCTTGGAGACCGTTGGCCCTCGAAGCGGTTGATACAGATTTGGTCCGATGGGGCCGGCGAGACGACCACTGTAGAAAAGCGCACTGATTGCAAGTTTCAACAGTAAGTACCGTACCACAATTAATCGCCTTGCAAGATCGACGAGTAAACGACTTCAATAAAGTTGGAAATCATCAAAAGATTTTCTGAATTAGTTACTGAATTGCATTCACATATGCAAATCATCTCAATATTCTCGATGAATAAAAACCTATAAATGCATTAATTTCAATATCTGAATAGTATTGGACATTTTAACCCCAAACAGGAGGACTATTTCATCTCGAGCAAAGTGGCAAATAATTATCATTTTTGTGTTTTTCAACAATTCAGACCATTTGTGGTTCCATTTTATGCCAAACTGTCCCCAATAAAAGCGTGCCCATGTTCGCACTTCTAATTTGCGACGCAAATCTCACATATTTTGGCTCATTTTGCGCCGAAACGACTTGTATTAATCCATGTAACACAGGAAAGCATAGATGTATCAAAATTACATACACTGGTGCAACTTTCCACCACACTACCTCAATCGACCAATTTTGTATACCTCTGCAAATTTTCGCTGCCACCACCAACACATTTAGATGTTCCTAGGACATACTTTGCGCACACGATACCTTCAGACTGATTAACGTGCTAACAACTTCCTTAGCACTTATAGGTTGCATGAGAAGAACCGTTGTGGATTAATACCAAAAGAGTGGAGTTTAAGAACAGTCAAGAGTACTCACGTAGTAGCAGGCCTTGTCATGGTAGGTGGGGGAGCTGACGAAGTGGTAACGGTGGTGGGTGGAAATGTCGCTGGCGGTTCAGTGGTGGGAAGAGCAGGAAATTCTCCAGAACCCACAGGTGGTGGATCGGGTAGGAAGCCATCGGAAGGAGGAGGTGGAGCAGGAGGTGGAACATCCGGACAGCTGATTAAAACAAGAGTTCAACGCTCTCAATCCCATATAGATCATCATGTATTTCCACCTCTCTTGTAGGTGTTTTCAAAATTTCATCAAAGTTTACGCTTCTGCAAAACAACTAAGGTGAATTGTTTCTGATAAAGCTCATATTTTTATGAGGCGTATAAAAATCGAGATACTTAAAGTAGCTATAGGCAAAAACTATAATAATTTCACGCAAATTAAAACTTTTGAAAGCATTTTCTTTAAAATGAGACAAGGTGTAAAAGTATAGCATACCTTGACATTTGATCGAGACCTCCTGTTCCCGATAGCTCATTTAATCTGTCGTAGAGCTTCAAGTCCTGGCCCAGTTCTGATGCGGTCTATAAAGTAAAAACTCCTAGAAAACACGTAAAATTAAGCTCTTATATGTTAGCCATACTGAATATACCCAGGCGGAACGTTAAATAGACTAAAAGGAAACAAGCATACTTACCTGTTCTATCAGTTGCAATATTTGTGTTTCAATTGTCGCTTCGTCGAAATTTACAGAATCAAGCCCACTTTCACAACCTTCACATTCATTCAGCAGTGCTCGATAACGCAGTATGGTTGAAGGAAGTTCCAAACCAACGCATGTGTGCATTACCATTTTCAGACGCTTTAACAACTTTTGAAGCTGCGGTGTGATCTGTACGGGTAATTGTACAATTTTTATTTACATTCAGACCCTTTGCGTTTTCATACGTTGACCTCAACCACGTCGATAGTTGACTGTATACATACAAATAAAAATCATGCTCTATCGTTTTCCAAATGATACTTTTTGCAAAGCTGTACGCTGTCTGCAAATTGTCTGCCTTCAGCTCCTAAACCATCACTGAACAAGGCAGTATTTACCCATTGGAGTAGTGTTTTATGAAAAGTAATCACCTTTTCCGCCTCATCAGATAAAGCAATGAGTTGATTCAGGCAAGACTGTAAGGCGAACATAGCCTCTAAATAGTAAGCAAAAGGAATTAAAATGGATACCGTCCATGTCATCGGAGTGTTCCATCATCCACGATTTAACTGAAAATCGAAGCCCTTAATTTCGTGACTTTAATCTGCAAGGTTGTGAAGCAGTATCTTGATGCATGTAAACAAATACAAAACATGATATATTTATTCAAAAAGCGTAGACAAAAAAGTATATTAAATATATCTTGCGACCATAAGTAATAACATTGATTGGATGATAGGTTTATTGTACGTCAGGAAGCTGCAACCAACACCCCACGCATAACAGACTCGTCCGCCGACGACGCAGCTGTAGTAAAGTAGTGTCATCTTTAGGTAAATAATTATAAACAAAGCACTAGGAAGATGTAGCCGTACC